CGTGCCTGGAAGACACCGAAGAAGGCGGTGTCCTGCCAGCGCGGCCCGCGCAGGGTGAACACGGCCTGCAGGCGGTTGAAGTGCAGCTGCTGCTCAGGGGCCGAGCACAGCAACCGCGCCTTCAGGAACGTCGTCCACTTCTTCTGCAGYGTCCGTGCGCCACCCACGTCACCCTGCAGGGCACAGAGACACGGTGTGACCGTGGGCACAGGGACACAGTGTGACCACGGGCACCAGGCACAGGGACATGGCGTGACCGTGGGCACCAGCACAGAGACACCGCTGTGACTGTGGGCACAGGGACACAGTGTGACCACGGGCACCAGGCACAGGGACACAGCATGACCATGGGCACAGGGACACAGCGTGACCGCAGACACAGGACACCAGCACAGGGACACAGCTGTGACCATGGGCACAGGGACATGGCCACCATGGGCACAGGGACACCATGGTGACTGCAAGCACCAGCACAGAGACACCATGGTGACTGTGGTCACTGGCACAAGGACACCACAGTGACCATGGGCACCAGGACAAGACCACCTTGGTGACCATGGGCACAGGAATAAGGCTAGCATGGTCATCACCCACACCGCGACAGGGTCACTGTGGTGACCATGGGCATCAGGGTATGGCCACCATGGGCACTAGCACAGGGCCACCATCGTGACCACGGCCACTGGGACAGGGCCACCACGGTGACCATGACAAGGCCACCGTGGGCACAGGGACATGGCCACCATGRTCAYCCCACAGCAAAGCCAGGCTGGGCTCACCCAATGTTTCTGATTCTCTCCAAAGGGCTCAGCGCAGCAGTGGGGACAGGGTTGGGATAAACAAATCCCAGCGTCACTGTGCCCATGACTGTGTGTGCTGGGAGGTTCTGGGAATCRGGGCTGGTGCCAGGGAAGGGGGGTCACAGGATCCCCGTGGATCTGAGAGAGACCCTGGGAAAATCCGGGGCCATAAAAGGGAATTTGGGGAAYGGGGATGTTCCCCAACAACCACAAAGAGCCTCCAAAGGGGTCTCAAAACAACCCCCAAGGACCCTCAAAACCTCACAGCCGAGTAAATGTATGGAAATAATGAGTGGGTGTGGATGGATCCGGGAAATGGAATGGATTTGGGATAGAACAGGATGGTACAGGGTAGAATGAATACCTAATAGAAACTAGTAATGACACATAATATTAATAATATATAACAAAATGTATGTGATATATACTCTATAATGTATTATGTATAAAAAACAATGCATAATATGTATTAAACACGATATGCATTAAACATAATACATTAATATTATTAATGTATATGTATTGAATATAATACATTATACATATTACACATATATAACATGTAATATATGCATAATGTAGCATATTATTATCATRGTCATATAGCAATTCCAATAAATACCCAAAAAAGGGTATATAACCATTTTTATACCATTATAACTATGACATAAATTAATTCTAACAGTAATGATAATAATGATAAACATAATAAAGCAATTATTAATTAGAAACKAATTAATTTTGTGATAATAGCCATTATATATTACATGTGGAATAAAGTACTATAATAAAAATTATAATAATATAATAAAATGGGTAGTAAAAATAACTTTTGTAATGATGACAACGATAATAATAATAACGATAATAGTAGTTGAAATCAGAATACAAATGCAACAATTTCATGCCCATCCCCTGCTGGGTTTGCTGCTGGGGTGAACAATCCCCAGCCCCCAGCACTGACCAAAGCCATGTCGGTTTTCCACCCCAACCAACGGCTCAGGGTGTGTCCCTGTGGGTTCCCCGGTGTCCCCAGGTGTCCCCAGTGTTCCCAGTGTCCCCATCCATACCTTGCAGACCCGTGCCACCCGTGCCACCACCTGCTCGGCGTAGCAGTCGTACTCGACAGCGCGCTCGCTGAAGAAGAAGTAGACCTTGTCATCGTCCCCGGTGCTGCTGCCCGCGCTCTCTGGCACGAACGCTGACGCCACAAAGTGAGGCTCTGAAAACCACAGAGTTTATAACAGTCAGCCCCATCCCCTCCGTGTCCCCATCCCCTCCCCTGTCCCCTGTCCCCACCGTTGAGCCAYGAGGTGAGGTACTCGGTCTTCATGGAGTAGTGCGGGCCCAGGTTGCGCAGGATGACGGGCTCCGTGCCCAGGAAGTTGTTGAAGGTGGCAGAGTAGAGCTCCCCVTCTGTGAGGGAGGGGTTTAGGGGGGTGTGGAGGGCACGGGGGGCACCCCCCAGGGCCCCAGAGGTGTCACCTACCCACGATGAGGCCCGTGTGGCCCTTGGTGGGGTCGTAGGGACACTTTCCTTTGCCATCCTCAAATGCCACCGGGTCCAGGGTGAAGCCAGACAGCTCCTGGGGGGCACAGGAGTGGGTGGGGGGCCCAAACCCCTTCCTGGTTCATGTCCCCYCCACACCCAGACCAGCCCTGGGCACAGGGACASCCCCCATGGTGACCCTGGGCCACCCTCCTGGGCACTGGGACAGCCCTGGATAAGGGCCAGGGACACACCCCAGATGATGCTTCAGGGATAGAGACAGTGCTGGATGAGGCTCCTGGATACAGGGACATCCTCAGACCACTGCCCTAGACCTAGGGACATCCCCCAGATGATCCTTCTGGGACAGGGACACTCCTGAACAACCCATTGAGGGGACAGGAACACCCCTGGATGATGGTCCCAGGGACAGGGACATCTCTAGATAACCCATCATGGGGACAAGGACACCCATCCGTGACCCTCCTGGACACAAGGACATCCCTGGATGATGCTCCCAGGGGCAGGGACACCTCTAGATAACACATTATGGGGACAAGGACAACCCATTCTGGGGACAGGGACATCCCTGGATGATACTCCTGGTAACAGGGACACCCCCTGATGGTGCTCCTGGGGTCAGGGACACCCCTGGACCACCCTGAGGACAGAGACTCCTCCAAGATGACTCATCTGGGACACCCCAACAACACCCCAGGGGCACAGGTGACATCCCCAACCCTCCCTCACAGACACAAACCCACACCCTGCACACGGGGCACCCCTGAATGCCACCCCTGGGGACAGGGACACCTTGCAGGGATACCCCTGGGCCTCATCCCCGGGGGCAGGGGGGAACTGAGGACCCCGCAGGTTTAGGGCTGCCCCACTCACGATGTAGGTGCACTTGGGCTGGAAGGCGTAGGTGCCGCAGGCGTAGAGGTGGGAGCTGTTGTAGCTCTGCAGGAAGCGCACGTAGTTGAAGCAGTCGGTCTGCGAGGRGACAGAGGGGACAGTCAGGGGGTGACAACACAGAGGGACACACCCACCCCAGGGTGCCCCAACCCCCCCTGCACCCGTGTGCCCACCTGGTTGTTCTTGCCCTTCTGCACGCACTC